CCTGTAGTCGGCAGATTGTCCTAACATGAACATTAAAATGATTGGCAGTCTGGCCAACTTGCAATTGTCCGAAGACTTGGTTTCTCTGATCTCTAGTAATTCGTGCCATGATGATTGTGTCAAAACAAAAATGATTTCAGGCGAGTTTGGAACTCGCTTTCATTTGTGCGCTTGGTCGAAACGCTTTTTCATCAGAAAACACACTGATGTTGGTAATAACTGTCAATTTGGATTGAAAAACATGTTAACAAAACGATACAATCATAATAAAAACACCATTTTGTGAGAACAAAATCTTGCATTTGGTTTTGAAAAGCGACGTTTCTTTTGTGGTTCAGTATATAATGCATTACTTATTTTAAAGCAACTTAAAGATCACATATACTCTAGGGGGGAACAAATACATAAATTGCTAATTGGCATCGTTATAAATGAAACCCCATCATTAAAACTACTCATTTCGATCTTTAACTGACTTAAATCGACCTTTTTGACAACAGTGCACAATTCTCACCCGCGAACGAAATTTCAACCAATCAGAGCGGTGCGTCTCTGTGACGTCATATGAGGAATAGCTATGAGGGCCGATGCAGAATTCATGTACATTTCAGGGGGTAAATTATCTTGTTTACAGGCTTGTATAAACCTGAAATCGTGACAACTGTTGTGAAAAATGAAAGCTATATGTTCTCACAATCTACTGTCCTTTAATTTTGTCTCCTGCTTTGCCTAGTTTCCGAAATACAACTTGTTTTCATAGACGATGATTCCGTCAAAATCGGTTGGTGTCGCTAGGCCTTATTTGTTCGAGCCAGACGCTAGTGATAGTGAAAACGATGATCAGCCTCGCTCATCACTGTTACGGTTAATTTCTTCAACCTACACAGTGCGACATTAAGAAGGGTGGATGCCCATCAGATGCCGTTATTTGAAAATATCCCCGGTAGTTCTTGTCTAATTGTAATAAAGTATCAAAGCAGTGTGGACTTTTTCAGGCTTTCTAATGCCTGGATGGTATAATGACTGATCCAAATTGATCCCATTTCTGTGGGGTTTTTTACCTCGATATTTAATCATGTCATGTTAAAATATGACGTCTAATACGTATGATATTAAAAATTGACATTTGATTGATTAGAATCTGTAAACTAAACAACCCTACTTTGTCATTGCTAGAAGAATTAAAAAATTTACCTAGGTAAACAGGTACATACAGTATTAGCACTCAGCAAATGCTTATATGTATTTCTTATGCAACAATGAAGTTCTGTTCGCATTCTCAAAACAGTGTCGGACCATAAGTTTTCACATGCAATTAAGATTGCATGCAATACAGCAATTAATACTCCCTTGTTGTAACCCGTGTTAGGTGGTATAAACAACGTCCTTCGTTCAAAGGATTAACCGCCAGTACATTAATTGATTGCTCATTATTGGCCAACTAAATTACTTTTTTTAAAAGAATGGCGGACATTATGCAATTAGTTGCCAGGTGTGCTATCTTGGGTGACCAATGAGACACTAATGTGAAATACCTTCGACCCCTACCTCGCTTCAGTGGAACAAATCGTTATGTTACAAGTTGTGTCATGCAAAATCCTTTTGGTCATGATTCAAATACATATTTAACTACGAGTAGAAAGTAGTTTTGATTTTCTAACTTGATGAAAACAAACCATAATCTCACTAATTCTAACAGACTTTAGCCCGTGACTTCACGATTTTAAAAAATGGCGGCGCCCTCTTGGGAACATCCGCCAGTCTGAGGATAAATGCTATTTAGGTTTGTTTTCACCGAGTTACAAAATCAAAACTACTTTCTACTGGTAGTAAAATATGTTTTTGATTGATGGCCAATTTAATTTTGCATGACATAGCTTATAACATAACAATTTCTCTCATGGAAGCAAGGTGGGTGTCAATATAATAATACTAAACAATATTATTGTCGCTTCGACCACACCCTCGCTTCCGAGGAAGAAATCGTTATGTTAAAAGGTGTGTCATGGAAAATCTTTATGGTCATCAATCATATACATATTTTACTACAACTAGTAAGTAGTCTCGATTCTTTAACTTCCGTGAAGCGATCTGAACACAAGCACGATATCGTTCCTGGCTTCCACAACGCTCCCTTCGCACTCACAAACATAACCCATTTAGCACGAACTGCGGGGTCCTGTGGAAATCTGTGCATGGTGACACCATCGCCCGACCCCAAGAAGCAATTGACGATAACCTAACGATTCAGCATGTCTTCGTTGATGTCGAGAAATCATAAAAATGACGAGCTTGCTACACACTTTCTATACAACTAACTGAAAATCCTTCCTCATATGACGTCACTGCAGTGCTCCGGCGACAGAGTTACGTAACCTGTCTGTGGTTTCGTTGGCGGGCGCGAGTGAACCAGGCGACTTTTTGGCAACTTTTAATCGCTCGGTATTAATTACCCACAAGTTTTTAAAGAATGAATTTGGTGTTCCGCGTAAGACTAACCACAAATCTTTCATATGTAATGGTTAAAAGAGTACAAAAAAACAAAGTTTAGTTGTTCTGTAAACATATAAAATGGAGCGTTCGCCAAGCACTGTCAGTCACAATGGCTAACCTGCAGAGGGCAGAGTTCATCTTGCCTCAGAGAGGAGGAAGACAGGTACTACATGGCCACAAGTATCTACTGAATGTTGTGAGACAAGTAGCCACACACTGGAAGTGCGTCATAGATAAATGTAAAGGTTAATGCAGTACCATTAACAGACAAAAAACAGACATAAATTCTTTAAAAAATGTCTTTATGTCCTTCAACTACTTCAACTGGAAGAGTCCACTTTTAGATCATAGGGGTGCCACTAGGTAACCATTGCGTAATCAACAGTCAACAGACCATGAAATGTTGTTTTAAGACTGTAGGCGAATTGGGATGTAGGCGAAATGAGAACATGCCAGCACAGCAGCCAGGGTGCCTGGACTTCAGAGGATATCCGGTCAAACTGTACAGAACAGGTTGAGAGAGATTGGACTGAGAGCCAGGAGACCCGACGTCGGGACCGTGCTACGTCGTCACCATCCCGCTCAAAGTCTCCGTTATCTAAAATTATCCACTTGGTTGTATAGACATTTCTTTCTTCTAAACTGATGTAAAAATTTAATGCACTAAAGTCTATTTATGGACGAGTTATACATGTTTGAAAATACAACATTTTCGCAAGTTAATTAACATGTAGGTCTATGGAAATTTCACCAATGATAACTCACTTATGGTCAACTACTGTATATCCGTTACTATTTTAAACTAAGAATATTTGTCGTTTCAGCGTTTGGATTAAATTGTTAATTATCTCCCCCGACTACAGTGATGGTGCCAATCCTGTAGGATTACCAGGCAGATAATGTACGTTCTCTAAGACCTCATTGAACCCATGGATCCACCTTTGGTTACAAGAAAATCCTAACGCGTTTATGATAAACATGCAGAGTACATTCCTAATTTGACTTTAAAGGGACAAAAATGCCTGATGCCAAATGTCTCGTCAATCACTGGATTGTATGGTCAAGACTCGAATGTTTACAGACTGCGTGGTACAATTGTCAAACAAACACTTGTGGTCAGAATTGTACAATCGACTCTGCTTTTGGCAGCGATTTCTTATGGATGTGGAATAGGGACTTATCGTTCTATATTTATGAGTATACCACATGTTGTTTCCGGATGATCAATGGACGTGCCTTTCCAACTATACCGAGGATAAAAAGTTAAGAGCCAGCCTATTTCAAAACTAAGATGTGAAGCTGTGGAAATGTTAGGCTAAAATTATTGAGAAGACCAATCCATATTTAGAGAAGGTTCATCTGGTAACTGATTTAGAGATATCATAATCATTTGTATTTACAATTAAAGGAACTATTGTTAAAGATATGATGGCACTGCGTTTTAAAGCAAAATATCTATTCCTATTCTGCTTATACAACACTATTAAACGTAGGTTTCACTTGTCAAAAATGACAATCATGTGACCATATAACAGTCATTTCTGAATTTCACTTTTCAAAAGACGTTAACTTTTTTTAGGAAAACAAAATGCATGTTTTACAAAAGCGCATATACCCTGTTTAAAGTAAAAGATACTTTCCATAATGGTTTTGATTTTAAGTACTAAACCAAATTATGACAGATGTTTTTTTCTGCAAGATTTCCTATGAGACAACCTATATTGGCAAAATATACTAGGTGGCGCTTAACTTTTTATTCACAGTATATTTGTGACGGGTTCTACTAGTCTTGCAGGATACCGGTCATACTTAAAGTATATTCAGGCGTTTATCCTTTACATAGCTCTCCCATTCCATGTACTAGTATTATAAAACAGAGTGTCATTTACTTCAAATCTTCAAATTAATGCGAGAGATAAATTACTGTTATCTTTGCACGCATTATTAATGTGTCACTATTGACTGTTGATGAGGACTCTCCATGCTTCCCTTCCGTTAAAACGAACAGATGATAAAACGGGAGGTTTGAGATTGATTATTATTACTAGACACGATGACTTACTATTCACAGCGTTTTTTACGCTGGGCATTGCTTTATATGCTATGTTTATATGCTTATACACTAACATACGAAATGACCTTAACATAAGCTGTACCCTCATCTATGGTAAATCAGTTAGGAAAGGCCCAATTATATAACCAAGAACAATATTAACAATATCTCTTAGATGTAATTTCCTCGCTCTAACATTTCGCTAGGACTTGGAGTACTGTGCAGCCATATTGAGTACTATCTGGGGCTATTGGTCAGCAGTGGCGTCAATGGAATTGCACATTAATCCAAGATTTACAGAAGCACTGTTAGATTTACAATAGAAATTATAACTTGTAATAATTAAGTCTATAAATCAGTAGTCCCTCACCACGTGGACTTGTATGGTTTATTAATAAACCAATGCTGAATAAATGATTTAACAAAAACAAGATTTACAGTATATATTACTCACCGTGCTTCATCCTAGTAAGATAGATAGCAAAGAATAAGAAACAAGCATGAAACAACTCCATCATTAAACTCCAGTGCACAGACGTTCAATGGGCACTTTCACATGTATGACTTGATCACAATAGATACATTTGAGATGTCTCCCTCCCGCACGGGGCACATTGACCAGACAGAGAATAGCAGGAAATCTTGACGCAATGTTGAGACACATTGATTCCACGACACTAATATTGGTGACAGAAGCGCCATGGAAACAAGTAATCAATAGGGAACAACAAGGAAAAGCACTGGACTTAATCAACGACATGATTGGATGAAAAACCCAAAGAATATGTCACTGATACGTAAGGGTAATACAACAACAAGGCAACAAAGGGTATTACTCTAGTGTAAAACAAACAACACAAAACAATCTACGAGAGGCGCATAATCTGGAAATATGTTTAAAGTAGTTTTTGTTTAACAGCTATTTTGAAGATATCAAAAAGTTGTAACAGGATTAAAAGATTCGGGGTCTCAGGGAGCTTCCAATTTTTAAACTGTTTTATGGTAGACATGTGTATTAATTCTTTATCCATCGACGCATCAGAGACAAAACTATTTCCCTACTTTGGCTGATGCCAGTCCGTGTTTCTTTTAGGCAGGCAATTGACTTACCTTTGGAGGTGTTTGTGATGGGTTTCACCTATTGGGCAGGAAATGTTATATCTTTCGCGAACACCTTGTATCACCACTATTGGCAAGTGCTTTCTAAACACTTGGCAAGGGTTTATGACAATGATGCAAATGTGTTATTTACATTTAAGACAAGGATTGGGGTGTGTACATTATGGCAAGGGTCAGGGTTCATACATCATGGCAAGGGTCAGGGTTCGTACATTATGGCAAGGATTGAGGTATGTACATTGTGGCAAGGATTGGGGTGTGTACATTGTGGCAAGGATTGGGGTATGTACATTGTGGCAAGGGTCAGGGTTCGTACATCATGGCAAGGGTCAGGGTTCGTACATATTGGCAAGGGTCAGGGTTCGTATATTATGGCAAGGATTGAGGTATGTACATTGTGGCAAGGATTGGGGTGTGTACTTTGTGGCAAGGGTCAGGGTTCGTACATCATGGCAAGGATTGGGGTATGTACAATGTGGCAAGGATTGGGGTGTGTATATTGTGGCAAGGATTGGGGTATGTACATTGTGGCAAGGATTGGGGTATGTACAATGTGGCAAGGATTGGGATGTGTACATTGTGGCAAGGATTGGGGTATGTACATTCTCGCAAGGATTGGGGTATGTACATTGTGGCAAGGATTGGGGTATGTACATTATGGCAAGGATTGGGGTGTGTACGTTATGGCAAGGATTGGGGTATGTACATTGTGGCAAGGATTGGGGTGTGTCCATTGTGGCAAGGATTGGGGTTTGTACATCATGGCAAGGGTCAGGGTTCGTACATCATTGCAAGGGTCAGGGTTCGTACATCATGGCAAGGATTGGGGTGTGTACATTGTGGCAAGGATTGGGATGTGTACATTGTGGCAAAGGTCAGGGTTCGTACATCATGGCAAGGATTGAGGTATGTACATTGTGGCAAGGATTTGGGTATGTACATTGTGGCAAGGATTGGGGTATATACATTGTGGCAAGGGTGAGGGTTCGTACATCATGGCAAGGATTGGGGTATGTACATTGTGGCAAGGATTGGGGTGTGTACATTGTGGCAAGGGTCAGGGTTCGTGCATCATGGCAAGGATTGGGGTATGTACATTGTGTCAAGGATTGGGATGTGTACATTATGGCAAGGGTCAGGGTTCGTACATCATGGTAATGGTCAGGGTTCGTACATCATGGCAAGGATTGGGTAGTGTACATCATGGCAAGGATTGGGGTATGTACATTGTGGCAAGGATTGGGGTCTGTACATTGTGGCAAGGATTGGGGTATATACATTATGGCAAGGATTGGGACATGTACATTATGGCAAGGATTGGGGTATGTACATCAGGGCAAGGATTTGGGTGTGTACATTGTGGCAAGGGTCAGGGTTCGTACATTAGGGCAAGGATTGGGGCATGTACATTATGGCAAGGATAAGGATTCGTACACCATGGCAAGAATTGGGGTATGTACATTATGGCAAGGATAAGGAGTCGTACATCATGGCAAGAATTGGGGTATGTACATTTTTTGTGGCAAGAATTGGGGTATGTACAATATGGCAAGGATAAGGGTATGTAAGGTACATCAACGAAAAGGATAACGACTTGTACATCATGGTAGGCAGCAGAACATGTACCTAATGACCCGTTTCAGAACGTTTCCCAACGCTATGAGAGCCAGGACATAGGTGATTTCGTTGCTTAGTCATCTCTGATAAATGTTCACATAGACAGCGCTATTTACAACCTGCATAGGTGCAGGGAACAACCCCAACCTGTAATTTTGTCCACATATATAATGCAGTATTTGTGGAACGAACATGTTGGCACAACTCATTGGCAACGGAACCACCATAACGTATGTTTTTTAGCCGCATATTTAACAAGTTTTTTTCTCAAAACGAACGTTTAAATTTCGAATGTTTATCTCCAGCCATTGTTAAATACATCGATGACTAAGCCACGATAGATCATTTTTTTTATAAGCAGAATCTTTTTGTTAAAATACATAGCACCTTAGGTAACAATTTGAATTCAATATGCAATAACATGGCCGATACAGTTTTCACTTTTTATCAATGATTCAAGTGAAATTAAACAGAGATGAAATGACTTCTGATCATACTATTTTTAAACCTCAAATCTAAGGTAAAATTTTAGTTTGTATTATTTTTCTGAGGCATATCTCTTCAAATAGCAAAAGTCAATTCAAAAGAATACCCGCTCTTCACTATCCTCAGAAACACATTTCTATAAAGGGACGTCACCTTCTTGATGAAAGTGACAATAAAACTAAAATCACATCAATTTGTTTATTCAGCATGTGTGTGGACTCCGGCCCATATTCAGATGCTACAACCAGCAGGTTGGAACATGCAAGTTAAAAAATTCACGTCCAAGGCGTAGTGCATAATGAAAAATAAAGTTGTAGCTTAAAGGTCACATGCAACCAAAACATCAAACATAATTAAAACACAATTGCTGATTATGAAAAAACATATAAACAAAATTATAAGCGTACAATCGCAAATCAAAAGTGCAATGTTTTGTACTTGGGTTTACTTCCCTAGAAACGAAGCAGCCGGGATACCGAACCCAGTCAGAGCGGGTGGGTGTGCACTCAAGTGTAACGGCTGGTTCATTTGCAGATGCCCTCACGGCTCATCGTGTGATATGTTACAGGAAATATGTATAATCAGTAAATATGTATAATTGCTGATTTTTTCAGTAATTTTGTATAATGTCTGATTCACTCAGGAATTATGTATATTTACTGAACAAATTTATACATATTTACTGAAATCATTTGAATTACTGAAATATTGATATTACTCTTAAAGTCAGTCTGGTTTTCATAGATATGTCTTAATTTTTAGGAACAAGGTACAGCACATTGATTTTCATGAATTTTATTTCCTTGTGGTCATGAATGTTTATTTGAACATGGGAGTGTTGAGTGACACATAGAACTACATTGAATCTTTGCCTTGTAACACTTGCAGCGATTGGTCTGACAACGCTTTGAGCCAGTACAGTTGCATTTAGTGAAACCTTGTCCACTGCAGTAAGAGTGTTGGTGAACAGTTTGCCGAAGGGAAACGGTTTTCTCCGTGTTGAAGTCATCTGCAGAGTACAGTCTCGTAGCACACACGTCGAATTGGTTACGAGCATACTTCCTATTAGGAACACCCCACTTTTCACTGCTATAGTATAGTGTTGGGAATTGGTTAAAATCTCATAATTGATGATTGGTTCATTACAACCGATCAATCATCAAAAATAATTGGTTAGCGTCATTTATGAAATGTGTTAATGCACACAAAAATAAGGAAAAAAACATATAGTTCTTTGGGTTTTTTTGGGCAAAATTTCACATCTTTAAAGGATGACTAGTATGGAGGAACATAAATTTCTGAGAGTCTTTAAGATAAATTCAATCATGACTTGGAATGAACTTGTAGTGCTTATGAAATGTAACAGACAAAACCAACCTAGTGAAAATACTGTTAATGAAAACAAGTGTTCTAGAATTGTTTGTGTTCGATTATGAGAAAACATGATCGATTGCTTGTTCGTTTAGTCACTGCGACCAACCTTCGATTATTTCAATTAACCGGACCACCACTGCTATAGTACACATTTCGCTGTCACTGCACTCAATCACAACACCCATCATATTCCGCGGGTCAGCTCTGCCTCTATCAACATTGGGAATGTACACAGCTACATTATCTACAACTCTGACAGGTGTGAGAACACGCTTGCTCCTCTGTACCATACGCGCTGCCTGTTCAGTTTGAGCTTCACACGCTCTTTTCCTCTGCAGCTGAATGGCTTCTTGGTTGGATGAAATGGCATCTAGTTGACTGTTCTCTTCAGTAGTCTTAGGTTCATCATGTGACGCTGTAGAGTTCAGTTCGGAGATGATCTCCTCAGCAGGTTCAATTGTTGACGATTTTCCAGCAGTAGTGTCAGATTCCTCAGAGATATTCTCCTGATCAGGTTCAGCTGTCGATGCTGTAATGGCATGAATTCCTAAGGCAGCAAGTAAATCGTCTTCTGACTGCAACCGCTGAAGGATGTCAGTGGGCAAGCTTGTTGATGTCAATCCAGTGCGAGCGTCAGACCCTAACAGCGCCGCATGTGGAGATCGCTTGATTCCGGTATCGAGACTGGAGTTCTTCTGAAATTGAACGAACTTTAGTCCCACAGTCCAATCACTTGTATGATTATCACCAATCCAAGCAACAAGCATATCCTTGATGTCACAATTTGCCCTTTCTACAGAACCTTGACTTTGGGGGTGTCTTGGTTTTCCATGTACCATCACCAATGCTGGCCACATAATCTTCAGCTCAGAAATAACCTGGGCAGTAAATTCAGATCCATTGTCACTTTGAAGAAGGCATGGGGCACCTAAGAGGAGGAAGATGTCAAGAAGCTGATACGCCACTTCTGCTGCGCGTTTAGAAGTCAGGGGCCGCAATACACAAAACTTAGTCAGATGATCTTGATACACCATGATCCATTTGAACTGTCCTTGAGTCATGGATTGCTGTCGATAAAATCGACTTGTGCTCTGGAGTTGAAGTCTTTGGAGATGATTGGTTTTACTACGGTCCCTTTTGTTGTAGCTCTCTCAAGCTTCCGTTGGCATTCAACCCCCAGTCTTGAAGAGGGTCGATGCTTCAATGGTTATGTTTGCGTACTTCTTGGACAGTTCATGAACCATTTTATCCCGTCCCCCATGGCCCGTCGCAATGTGACCCCGTTTGACAACTTCATAGGTCTCTTCTATAGAAATGAAGTACAGGGGTGTTTCTTCTTCGTCTTCTTATCAGTCTGTTAATGTCACCACACTGAAGAACTTCATACTTCTTAAGAAGATAGTACTGATGAGAAGTCTTCTTGGAGGTCTTGGATGCTTATAATTTTGTTTCTTAAATTTCAGGAATTATGTATAATTACTGAGAATTTCAGTAAATATACATATTTCCTGAGTGAATCAGACATTATACATAATTACTGAAAATTTCAGTAACTATACATATTTACTGATTATACATATTTCCCGTAACATATATACAGAGATGTTTGGTTTTGTAAATACTAGTACATGCTCATTTTTTGTGTATAACATTTTGCAATCAACAGACATCATAACATGTCATGTGACCAAGTATCACACCTGCCTGTCTGTGTAATTACATAATGTGACAGAGACCGAACTCTCCCATAAATCAATGCGTTTTGTTTCTGGTGTATAGCCTGATAAATGTTATGTTCAAATTGCATGTGGTCAGTGATCGAAGTTGTGTATTGAATATTGGCATTAGCAGACAGGCAGGCAGACACATAGGTGTCAATAAAACAGACACTGAGTTTTGTCTGTGACAACGACATATCTATATCACAGTTAGAAATTCTGTCAAAGCTAAATAATGACATTGCTTTTAAGTATCGAACTGAGAAAGTGACTCGGTAAGAAGAACGTGTGGTGAAATAGACAAATGAAATTATATAAACAGTTAAATCGGTAATCTACTGTCATAACATATGAAAAGCTCGCGCCTGTGAAATATCAACAAAACATTAGAAAAATTACTCACACCAAAGCCTTCACCGAGTATTCACCGGACAACCCGCTTCCAAGCTGCGCGAACCTATTTCACTGCGCATGTGAATTGAGCGCAGCCCAGCGCAGCGCAGCCAAGCTGTTCAAACCATGTTTTTTCATCGGGTTATTTTTCAACTTTATAAGTTGAATTTGCATTTTTGATGATTTGTTTCTGTAAGTCCATAGCGAAAGGTATCAGAATCTGCAAAGTTGTGTTTTTCGTTGCATGTGACCCCTAAATAATAACGTTTGTATCATTAGCTGCCATTAAGTTGATGAAACTAGTTTTTATATTATAGGATGTACAGGCATGCACAGGTATTTAGATATTTAGCTTTCATAAGCTGGACATGAAATTCATCTTCAGTCATGTCTAACCAGGGATAATCTACAACGTGATACAGTCTCCACACAGTCGCAGTGTTCTTATCACGTTATAATATCGCCCAAGTTCAACTTGTAATCTGGCCACGCCAATAAGCAGTTTCGTCAAGTCACGACGATATAAGGAACAGTCGCCATGCGTTAAATACAATTCCGTTTGTAAATTCCGTTTAAATGAAGATGTATGTAAAATCTTTTTCCAGAATATTTTCGTTCTGTTTTGTCTGTCGGAGTTATCGATTGGTTTGTACTATAACTGCATCTACAAGTATCACTGTGACACAACAAAATATTGATGCATATGTAAGCGCCCCAGAATTTGAACACTTTGTAAATGTTCAGAGGGAAGTATTAAAGTAAATTCTACTTAACAGCATCTATAAAGACGCAATAAACCTTTCATGAATGGTTAGGGAAATACACTGTGACATTAATAAATCTTAGTCATATATAAATAATACATAGTTATTTATCGATCGAGTTTTTCGATCTGTCAAATTACTAACTTTCACGGACTAAGTCAAGCGTATCTCTTTTCACGTTGTAAGAGTGGGTGAGTTTAGTTTTACGCCGCTTTTAGCAATATTCCAGCAATATCACGACGGGGGACACCAGAAATGGGCTTCACATATTGTACCCATGTGGGGAATCGAACCCTGGCCCCGATTTCTCGAAACAAACTTAAGTCTGAGTTTTTACTCCAGAATAAACTGAAATCAATATTAAACTCAAACTTAGTAGACAATTTGAGTTTGGTGGATTAGATTACTTAAGTTGTTTGGGCTTTTTTTATTTAAAAAATGCAGTTGAGTTAAAAATTCAGCTGTTTCAAATTGTCAAACTCAGTTTGAAATTTGAGTAAAAACTTAAGTTTGTTTCGAGAAATCGGGGCCTGGTCTTCGGAGTGACGAGCGAGCGCTTTAACCATTAGGCTACCCCACTGCCCCTTTGGTTGCAAGAGGCAACAAAATGTATCCGAAGGTTGGCCTCGTAGTGAATGGCAAGCGGCCGGTCGCACCTGTCGGCGTGAGACAGTGCTCATAATATTATTCACTTGTTCGTTGGATCTCGACTCGAACACCTACAGCTCACCTACCGTAAACAACCTCCTTTCTTCTGACTGAAATCGAAAGAATGTCTTTATAGGTCGTTCGTTCGTGAGTTGAGTTTTCTGCCGTTTTAAGCAATTTCCCAGCAATATAATGACAGTAGAGGTCAGAAATAATTTGTACCTGTTCAAGTACTTATACCCGCCCTGGCATCACAAGAAGACGCTCGAACCAGGTATGCAAGTCTGAATGCTTCTATTTAATCAGGCCATGAATCTTATTCGTTGTCTTTGATGATACCGATAAATGGGGCAATCAGTATCAGACAAAGAAATAAATATTCCTCTCCAGGAAACACATTCATATATTATAGATTGTCGGGTATCGATTTAAACCCGATGCTCGCCGAGGTATTGATTTGTTGCGTGCTCACAAACCTAAAACCAGAAGGTGTGGAGTATACTTCAACCGTGGAATGGTTATAATTCCTGAACTTTAAAAAAAACTTCATCTTTAAATTTCATTTTGACATACAATAAATGAGTGTATGTACATTTGAGTGAGTGAGTTTGGTTTTACGCCGCTTTTAGCAATATTCCAGCAATATTACGGCGGGGGACACCAGAAGTGGGCTTCACACATTGTACCCATGTGGGGAATCGAACCCGGGTCTTCGGCGTGACGAGCGAACGCTTTAACCATTAGGCTACCCCACCGCCTCTTACACATTTGACATTTTTATATGATTTTGTCAGCATAACCAACAATCTACATCTGTTTTGGACAAGAAGAAATGTTCAATCCTTCAAAGACGGAGTGTCAGTGTTATGTTATACACATTTGATATTTATAAACACCGTAAACGAGTGTCACACTTGTGTAAAGACACACCATTTTACACACCATAATACCCTCCACACCCCTACCGGTCACCATAACCTTTCCTACAAGGAATGTATGAAAAGACGTCCTTAGCTTCTTAAAAAAAATGGGGCGGTGGGGTAGCCTAATGATTAAAGCGTTGGCCCGTCACGCCGATACCCGGGTTCGAATCCCCACATGGGTACAATGTGTGAAGCCCATTTCTGGTGTCCCTCGCCGTGATGTTGCTGGAATATTGCTAAAAGCGGCGTAAAACCAAACTCAGTCAGTCTTAAGAAAATATTTTTCAATTCACCATTATCGATAAATCTTCAAACGGAATTGTAAAATATTTCCCCATGTTATTTTTCAGTTTCCCTCTAGGAAAGATTGCCACTCAAAGAATTTTCCCTCCAGGATCGAATATATTTGGCAGGGAACAGTTGTAACTAATTCATACTGATAAAGAGAAGACAAAGGCATATATATTGACTTCTTTCCTGAACGATTTTATGATTCTATGCGACAAAACAGCCTTGGTCTGTGAATTCAAATGTCTAAAAACAACTGGGCATTCAAAACAACCTCGTTGGAAACAACAATTGTTCTGTAAACATCTTTGTCTGGGAACATTCGTTATTAGCCATGAAGTATTTTTGTCCACCGCCATCGAGTTTAGGAAGCTTCATCAAAAAGAATAAAATCTGAATGTTATCGATTATTTCGAGATTGGAGTTCTTATTCAACCTTATTGCCCAACATCGTAAGAGCTCTTCCTCTCCACAGTTAAATATATTTGCCAGGAAACGGTTGGACCTGTACAAGGCTGTCACTCTTCCTGTAGAGCACATACCTGTATATTTGACAATGGCTTACAAGATTGTAACGGATTGATTCTTTTTCATTGTATAAAATTCCTTGCATACGGATACTCCTGTGAGTCCCTATAGTGGGAATAAAATAGAACGGATTTCTTTTATATTGAAGGGCACCTTGTAAATCAAGACGAGTTTGTTCCCACTGAAAATGAGTTCATTGTCGAATGTTCACATTAACGAATCCAAGGTATGAAGTAATTTTAAATGCTTACTATTGGACCTTGAAAGCAGTATCGTCGGGTTGGTTTGTATAAACGAGCTCCAGACTTTTGAAAGTTCACAAAAATATGGTTAGGTCTACAGATGAACAAATTAAGTTTAAAACGTATACCATTAGTATACTACCCATCAAACGTTTAGACTCACTAGTGTAAATGTAGCCACTTACTTCAGGCAACTGTTCTAAACTAGATTTTGCAAAATATTCCATTCTGTTTAAAGGTACTGTTTACACATGAACTGATGTATTGTAAAACAAATTCGTAACGTTGAAAAGATTATTGTCATGAGATCAATAAATGATGAAATTTTGGCGAATTCTTACCAGAACTTTACGCAAAAACGCAGCCGTTCACGTGCATGATATTTACACATGCTTTTCAGCAATTTAATGCATTATCCTCGTGCACTTCATCTGCATAAACTTTGCAGTTGGGTCCCCCAAGTTAGTGGAGAAATTCATCTTCGATGTAACCATATATATACATAACATATAGTGAGTGCTTTAAGTGAGTCTAAACTTTTGATGGGTAGTATATCT